AAACACTACTGCACCACCATGAATCTTCTCCTTGAAGATCATGGAATTACGTCAAACCACCATAATCTTAACCACATATCCTTTTTCTTTAACCATACATCACATGTTGAATATTCTCACACTTTCACATACTTTCCACATAAATCACCTCATACTATGCATTCCAATCAATTGATCCAAGCAAAGATATCAAAATAAGAGACTTGACCCGACAGGAGTCGCACAGCGCATCTCATTCGCAAGGCGAAATAGGATCATCTCGCATAGCGCACCTTAATTCGCATAGCGAATTAAGTCGCATCATGCATCAGACCTCAAGCCTCTCGCATAGCGCACCCAGGTCGCTATGCGAGAACTCAGACAGAGACCAACCACCCCAAAGCTCTCGCTATGCGCCCCACTCGCCCTTCGAATTAAATGGGCAGTGATCCTAGACCACCACCAGTCGCATAGCGACAGGATTCGCCATGGCGAGTCCAAAAACAGTAAGCATCACCCTCTGGAAATTTGCACAGCGCACCATCTCGCATAGCGAATTTCCAAGACAGTGAGCACCCTTCTCAGGGTCTCGCTATGCAAGACAACTCGCATAGCGACACTACATAATCTGCAGAACGTGAATTCTGCAGAATCATACACTCTCACTAATCCTTACCATTTCCATTTATTTTTCCCAACTTCTAACCCTCCTAATCCTTGNACAAATGAGTTTATTGAAAAATTTCATATTTGGTGGATTCAAATTAGGATTGGATGATGAATTATGTGTGTTGATTAAGGTTATTGGAGTGGAATGAATGAGAAAAAATTGGTAGAAGAAAAATGTGTTTTGTTTAGAGGACAAGAAGTCGACCGTGCCATTATAATTATGATTAATTAATTAAATTACTTTTTTTTAGCATGCATTATACGAAACATGTCCTTACTTAAATTAAGAGTTTAAACATAACTTAATTTTAATTAAATTCTTTTTTGATAAAATTTACACACTCGTGTTCTAGAAAATGTATTCAATTATTTTTTAACATCACATTGTTTAAACACCAATCGTTACTTCTTTTACCATAAATGTTAAAATACAAATGCATATCACTCATTTATGGTCAAATAATTATTAGTCAACTTTTAATTTTAGCCATATGTATATAATGAAAAATGTTCTTATCATACGCATATTTTAAAAAACTCCAATTTAGTAAATTTTATTTTTAATACGTTATTTTCATTTTAAAATTAAAAAAAATATTTTTAATAAAATATTTTTTATGTTTTGATGTTATTTTTCCATTTAAGTCTTTATACTCAGATAAATAAATTATATTCAGTATTTTCGTGAACCTTTTTAGATCAGTTACCTATTTAAAATAATTTAATCACTTATTAAATTTTTTCCAAAGTAGATAATAATATTTCCATTTTTTTTATAATACTAAACTTATTTATTTATTTGTTGTTGGAAGCTCTGTGACTATGAACATTTCCATCTTTTTCTGTGGAAGACAATGAATAGAGAAAGCAAATCATAGTCTACAAGTAATTATTTCTACCGTCAACTGCGAAGGGCTGCGAATCAACAAATGGTGTTTACATCAATCTTCTCATGTTATTATTATTTCAAATTGTAAATAAACAGTACCGTCCACTTTCATAAAAATAAATTATGATTTTATTTTAAAAGATGAGATAAGTGAAGAGAGAAAGAAATATTTAAATTATCTTATATTAAATTCTTAAATGATATAAGATTATTGGATGAGGTAAATATTTAAATTTTTTATAAATTTGAAAAATTAAAGTCATATTAACTTTTTAAAATATTAAAATTAGGTAGTTTGAAACCTCAAAGTAATATTATAAACCTTAATTTTTTTGGTTTGATTATGAGATAAATTCTCAGGAAAGCTCGAACTATAGTGTTATATATATTTAATATAGTTTTTTTCTTCCATCTGTCCGGTAAAGCTTACTATATTTAGAAAATTAAAAAACTATTTTATGGTAAAATCTTTTACATAGATAAAAAAATATTTTAAAAAGTTAGCAACTAAGTTTACATTTAAATAGTAGGTTATAATAAAATTAGTAAAATAACAACAATGATATAAATGTTATTGGTAGGGATGGCAAAAAAATCCGCGCCCGCGGATATCCACGGATAAAATCCGCGACGGATAGTTGGTACCTGCGGATATTTACTATCCGCGGGTTGCGGGTAGCGGGTTTTTTAATACCCGCTTATAAACGGGTCGGGTGCGGGTATTATACTATCCGTATCCACGGATATCCGCTACCCGCAAAAAATAAAAATAAAAATTTAATTTATATTTTATTAAGTTAAATTTAATTAAAATTAACATTAATTTATATTTTATAAAGTTAAATATAATTAAAATTAAATTTTAATTTATATTTAATTTAATATATATTATATTTTATATATTTTTTGTAATTTTATTTAAATTTTATTATAATATTTTATAAAAATATATTTTTTTAAATATTTATGGGATATCCACGGGTATCCACGGATATCCGCGGGTTTTAAAACATCCGCGGATATTTTTTAAGCGGATATCCGTGCGGGTAACGGGTCGGGTAACGGGTGCATTTTTTTTTTGTCGGGTCGGGTTGCGGGTAGGCACTATCCGTGCCCGACCCGATCCGTTGCCATCCCTAGTTATTGGCCTATGTTTGAAATACTTTTTAAATGATTTGACAAATAATATTAAAGTTAAATCATTTTTAAGATATTTACGATGACTTATGGAATAGAAAAGTTTTTTAAAACCTATTATAATGTCACCATGAACTCCTTTGAAGTTTGAACCCCTTATTTCCATAATGATGGGCAATTTCCCTACCATCTTTGACGGTATAGGCAACGAAAATAACAAAAAGTAAAGCCAAAAATTATTATGCACGTGACAGTGAATTACCACAATAAAAATAAAAATCAAAGTGAATATATTTTACAATTCTACAAAATACTTTCCTTAGGTCTTTATTATTATCTCTTTGTTCTTTTATTTTGTGTTAATAATATATTTTTACTCAATTATTTAGTGTTTAATATATCCACGAGCTTCTTGATCATTGAAATCCAATAAATAGATAGCCTCACATTCACATTCTTAGATAATTAATCTTATGTTAAGATCAATCAATTTAGTTTGTTCCTTTGTTATAAAGAAAAATTAAGAAAAAAACAATCAAAATAATCAAGATCGAGAAGTTTGTGAAAACAATAAATATAATTACTACCATGGGAAAAAACAACAAGAACAAAAGAAAATAAAAAATCAATCCGATAAACATTTGTAATTATGACAAAAAAATTAAATCACTTAAAGGAAAACATATTGTCTCAGGAGAAGAGAAAAATTGTTCATTTTTCATTGCTCAAACAAATTCAAAGTATAATGAATCTTATTGATACTTGTGATAGGAGATAATTAAGCTATATTAATTTGAAGTATATAAATTGTGAACGTTGGTAGTACTTTCTATATGTAGCCAAACTAATATTTTCTAAGCATATATAAATATAATTTTTGGGATTGTAGTTAATTTTAAATGTTTGATATATATTGAAAAAAAAAATTGACTTATGTCTTAGTAAGTCATATTATAAGAGTGGTTTTCTTTTCGATATTTATACATAAAAAGTCTCTTTAATAAAAGAATATTATAACAATTTTTAAATTTTTTTTAATAATCATCAAGTCTTGATTTATGAGTAAGAATATTATTATCTTTAATGTTGTGTTTATTTCATAGATGTATTGTATAAGTGGATAAGAAAGTGACTAACTTTGACGTTTGCTTTCAGTGATTTAGGTTGATTTGTAAAGACAAATTTAGACGATAATAACCAAATTATATCCTAGCATGAGTGAATGGATTAAACGAAAAACAAAAAATACCATAATCCCCTACTTATCACACACACACACACACACATATTTGTAATTAATTTTTGTTTAAACTATTTTTTATTAAAAAAATGATGATTTTATTGTTTTAGTTTCTATTATCATATCATAAGTTTTTAAACAAAAAACATGCCCGTTTCTTGAGTTTAGAATATGATTTGAAACTAGTATTATTTATAATTTTTTAGAATAAAATCAGAAAAGAAAAAAAGTCCATGCTCTCATTCATTAAACTATTCTCACTCTCGAGTAAAATCACGATTTCTTACGCAAAATACAACATAGCTAATAGAAAACAAAAGAGAATCCAAATTTCAAAAATCACTACCTTCACATTCTTCCAATCATTTACTGTTTTGAGAAAACCAATCTATTGTTCTTTTTTGCTTAACATTAAACATTTTTTTTAATAAATAAATAATAATTAAAAATTGAATGGTCTAATGATACATAAATAATTTTTCAATGAATTTATTAGTCATAAATGACAATTCGTGACTTGTTATCAGTCTTTTCATGCAAACAACTAGTTATAAATGACACTTGGTTATTCGTTATCAGTTTTTTTCATGCAAATAACATATCAATTGAGTAAATTTATAAACAAACACTATTTTTTCTTAAAAACTAACTTTTACATTTAAAAAATAAAAAAAATTATATTATGTAAAAGATTAAATTCTAAATTTCTACACTGAAGAACCAAAAAATAATCTTATGAAAATAAAGGATTGAAAAACATATTTAAAAAGTTATTATTTTCCCACTAGAAATTTACATTATACGAGAAATTAAATACATATTTAAAACTTATAAGAATTCACTTTTTTGACTTCTAAAATTTTATCTAAACTTTTAGGGACTCATGTGATTGCGCAATGGAAGGTGGAACATGCCCACACGGCGCAGATTAGCCGGAAACATTCTACTTTTATTTCCATTGTTTTTATCCCTTTTCATTATTTATTTATATAAATTTTATTATTTCTTTTTGGAGGTTGTTTTGTTCAGAAATACAGCTAATATGACGGTCCGTGGCCGTTGTAAACAACGAGTCTCGTGCCTCGCATGGCCCTATAAAACCCGGACCTCTCGTTCGAGCTCCGTTTTCCTTAACTGAAACGGTCCCAAATTTTCTCTGCCAGCGAGGCAGAGAGAGAAAGTAGAGCGAGAGGGAGTGAGCGAACAGCACCACACATATTCTTCCTCCGTCCGGGTTAGCGAGCGTCGCCGTGGTTCTCTTTCGAGGAGGTTTTTTCGATTTGTTTTTCCGAAATGGTGGATCCGTACGTTCTTGGCTGGATTCTGTTTTCCTTTCTGAGTCTCTTTGCGCTCTACAGCCTCGCCTTCGGCGGAGAGACTCGGCATCGCGCTTCGCCGCCGAAGCCAGTAAACAGGATCGAGTTGTCGGAAACCGTGACCACCTCCACGAGTGAATGCAGATCGGATAAACGCGACGGCGACGCTGACGTCATTATTGTTGGAGCTGGTGTAGCCGGCGCAGCTCTGGCGCACACTCTCGGAAAGGTAGATGTTGTTGATCCGTTACTCTTGCATGTATTATTTGGATATGTATTTGGATGTTTTGGTGATTAATAACAAATATGAATACAGACACGACATGTATTATTTGGACAAATTATTTGTTATCGCTTTTCTTGCGTTTATGTATTTTTAAAATTTTGTATTTATTTGAGAGGACAGAACCTTTTTCACCAATGAAGGTGTGAAGATGTATGTCCCATTCTCTGACTCTTGAGAAACGGTAAAATTAGGATGTTACCTGTCGATGATCATGTGCTTATAAGCATTTTGAAGATTTTATGTATGAGATTGAGTTTTTCTTTTCTAAGCATCATAAGTATGAATATATTCTAATTTAAAACAGGTAAGATGTTCAGTGCTTTTTTTTTTAGAATAATATATTAGAATACACATTCAAAATTTATGTAGAATTTTATTTCGATAATATCTATGCGTAATAGTTATCGTTCCAGGTTATAGTGACAGTTGGAAAAACTTTGAAATCAATACTTCTATATAAAATTTTTATATTTATATATTTAATTAAGTTATTGACTTGTTTCTACGATTAGAAATCTCATTATTTTTGGATGAGTAAATTCAATAATTGTAGGTATTAATTATGCATGTTTGATTTATTTTTAGTTTTTTCAAAATATGAGATCAATCATTTTCTTCTGAGTTGTGTTTCTCACTTTTGAGGATTCGGATCTATGATTTCTGTTGTTACATTATTGTGTTTTGGATTTAAAATTGAGGTTAGGCCAGCAGATCTCGGTTTAAGGGAATTTCTACAATTGATGATCCTGTTGACACTCTTTGCATGTCTGGCTTGGTTATTATCCTCGTACCTTTTTAGTATACCGTTGCGAAGACCAGTGGAAAATTGAACTTCGTATGGGTCAAATTTGTTCGGCACTTACCATTTCTATTGTGTGTTGTATTGTTTATCAGTGAGATTCAGGACATACAGATAGATATGGGTATTGACTACAGAAATATTATGTTACAGGATGGGCGTCGAGTACATGTGATTGAAAGAGATCTCAGTGAGCCTGACCGTATTGTTGGAGAGTTGCTACAACCAGGTGGCTATCTCAAATTGGTTGAGCTGGGGCTTGAAGGTAATCTAAGTATTAATTTTATACATGTCGTTTAATGTACTCCTAGATTCTGTTTAGAAATGTTCTGAGCTTTTTTCTGCTGTGTTCAATTGCAGACTGTGTAGACAAAATTGATGCTCAGCAAGTATTTGGTTATGCCCTTTTCAAGGATGGGAAACATACTCGTCTTTCTTACCCCTTAGAGAAGTTTCACTCAGATGTCAGTGGCAGGAGCTTTCACAATGGTCGTTTTATTCAGAGGATGCGGGAAAAGGCTTCCACCCTTCCTAAGTATTCATTTCTTCCTTTCTGGTTGTTAAAGAGTTGCAACTGCCTATGACTCTGCCCCCAAGATTCTATTCTTGTAGCAAATGAAAAGTATTTGGGATCCTATTCTACTTAGAATCTGGTGGTTCCTATAGTGTTATCTAATCATGTTATATGAATCAGTAATTCTATCAGAACAGAACTCAGAAATGATATGTGAATTAAGATGTTATTTTAGTTATTCAATTGAGGTAGAGGTATTTACGTGGTGTTTTTCTTTCTAAATATTCTGCAGCGTGCTATTAGAGCAAGGAACAGTCACTTCCCTAGTTGAAGAGAAGGGGACAATTAAAGGTGTGCATTATAAGAACAAAGATGGTCTGGAATTGAGAACATTTGCTCCTCTTACCATTGTTTGTGATGGCTGCTTCTCAAACTTACGCCGTTCTCTTTGTAATCCTAAGGTGAGAATGCTTTTAGCCTTAATCCTAAGATCAGATCCCTCAATTTCCTATAAACTGACCAATAACTATACCGAAAAAGGTTATTTGCTATAATTTATTCAGATTAGTTTTTTGGATCACATTATTCAGACTTTTTTTCCTACTAAGGTTTTGTTCATCCTTTTGCTTGTGAGAGGAAATAAACAGAATTCTGAATTACTAGTAAAGCAAAAATACTTTACATTTTTACACTCATTTGACGTATTATATGCCATTCTCCTTACAGAAAAACATGTTAAATGAATGTAAGTGTATCAAATTTTCATTATCTATACTAATGTTTTATATCGCTGTATTTGCAGGTGGAAGTTCCCTCATGTTTTGTTGGTTTACTTTTAGAGAACTGCGAGCTTCCATGCGCAAATCATGGCCACGTTATACTGGGAGACCCTTCACCCATTCTATTCTATCGTATAAGTAGTACAGAGATTCGCTGTCTGGTCGATGTACCTGGTAAGAAGGTTCCTTCTATTTCAAACGGTGAAATGGAAAAGTATTTGAAGACGACAGTAGCTCCACAGGTACTGTACCCCATCTATGATCTTAGTTCTATAAAATGTGTTTTATTCTTTGCATGTATGTCATTAAATTTTCACCATGTGGAATCTTGTTCACTTTTAATTTTATTGGTCTGTTTTTGACGATGAAGTGACAAACTATTGCAGATTCCCCCTGAACTTTATGATGCCTTCGTAGCTGCTGTGGACAAGGGCAACATAAGGACAATGCCAAACAGAAGCATGCCGGCAGATCCTCTTCCTACACCTGGAGCCCTTCTGATGGGAGATGCATTCAACATGCGGCATCCACTAACGGGAGGCGGAATGACTGTAGCATTGTCTGATATTGTGGTGCTGAGAAATCTTCTAAGACCCTTGCCTGACCTCAATGATGCACCCACACTCTGCAAGTATCTCGAATCCTTTTATACCTTGCGTAAGGTAATGTTAGCTTTACTCCAAACTCATCTGCAATGTTAATTGTTAATATTTGTTAATAAAGAAGTTGAATCACAATATCTTTAAGTTATAACTCTTAAAGTGTTAGTAGAGGAAGTTGAACTCATATCTTCTTCTACTTTCTTTCTAAACTCATCAAACCAACTTTATAATTTCAAAGTGATATATCTCCGGTTATAAATCTGATGTTTACTCTTTAATTTGCAGCCTGTGGCATCCACAATAAATACATTAGCAGGTGCGCTTTACAAAGTTTTTTGTGCATCCCCTGATCAGGCAAGGAAGGAAATGCGGCAAGCTTGCTTTGATTATCTGAGTCTTGGAGGCCTATTCTCCGAAGGACCTGTTTCTTTACTTTCTGGATTAAACCCTCGTCCCTTGAGTTTGGTTCTGCATTTCTTTGCCGTTGCAATATATGGTGTTGGCCGTTTATTATTACCTTTTCCTTCACCTAAGAGAATATGGATTGGGGCCCGACTAATATCTGTAAGTTTTAAAAGCTATTTTATAGGCCCTTTTACGCTTTCTCTACTACTAAAATTTCATGAAAAAAATTATAAAAATTGTGGGTGAATTGCACTATTGAATTTGTAATTTTTAATAAGTTTTATCTAATTAATGAAATAAAATAATGTGCAGTCTTATATTTTTAGTTTAGTTTAAAAATCTGAAATTTTGTTTTGTTAGGGTGCATCTGGAATCATCTTCCCCATAATTAAGGCTGAAGGGATTCGGCAAGTGTTTTTCCCTGCTACTGTTCCAGCTTATTACAGAGCTCCCCCGGTTGGACAATAGTGAATATGTTTTTGATGCAATACAGAAAATCAAGGTGCTCTCTAGATGAACAAGTTAGCTTTCTTTATCTTCCTTTTTTCGGAATTTGAGAGAAGGTTGAAATTCGTTCGTAGTTCTTTAAGCATTTTGGTTTCTTTGTAGTATGTTGTTACTCATACACTGTNAAATAAAATAATGTGCAGTCTTATATTTTTAGTTTAGTTTAAAAATCTGAAATTTTGTTTTGTTAGGGTGCATCTGGAATCATCTTCCCCATAATTAAGGCTGAAGGGATTCGGCAATTGTTTTTCCCTGCTACTGTTCCAGCTTATTACAGAGCTCCCCCGGTTGGACAATAGTGAATATGTTTTTGATGCAATACAGAAAATCAAGGTGCTCTCTAGATGAACAAGTTAGCTTTCTTTATCTTCCTTTTTTCGGAATTTGAGAGAAGGTTGAAATTCGTTCGTAGTTCTTTAAGCATTTTGGTTTCTTTGTAGTATGTTGTTACTCATACACTGTGTAAGTGCATGTATGATATCTCTTTTCCTTTCCTCCGTATTCTAGAAATTAAATATTTCATTCATCTCGAACTAAACTACCATCCAAACTGTTTTCTAAGCAAATGATTTTAATTATAATTTTCATTCTCATATCATCATTTACATTTAAACATGTATTTTTGTCTCTAACATTTTCAAGGATTTTATATTTTTTATATTTCGTACACCACAAACTTTTTCTTAACTTAGTACATAAAATATTTATAGATTTTACATATTTTTTTCTAAAATAATATTTGTTCATATTTTATCTTTACTATTATGTTAATTTTTCAAGTAATTTGTAAATAGTTTTAGATGTTTCTTTTGGTATATATATAATTGTTTTTATCATAATAACATTATTTTTTTATGATAATATAATCACAACAAAAATGAAAACCGAATAAAAAAAAAGTGAACACCAAAAAGCAAAGTAATATTCTTAGAGCCATGCGTTCCAACTAGATGCCAAAAACACGTCATGCTTAAATTTATATAATTGATGTATTTTGTTTCTTATTCTAATTTTACCGAAGATAAAAGAGTGATCACGCCTATAAACAAACAAGGAATGACTTATTGACAAACTTATTAATTTGTCCTATATAATCAAATTCAGATACTTGTGGTATAGTTATATGATATAAATATAAACATTACTAGAGATGCTTATAATTTAGAATCTAAAATACATGTATAAGATGAGGTGCGTTTATTTGAATAGTAATAATAAAGGATAAATATAATGAAAATAGATATTTAGTTAAAAAAATAATAACAAA